CCGACAGTGTCATGGCCCGGCTATGGTGGTGTGTTTGCACTGAGAGGTTCCATCCTGCTATCCTCGTTGGCATTGGTCGCAGCAGCATCATCATCGCGCACTTCTGTTGGAGTCCATGCATGTTTCCCGGTCGCTGCTGTGCCAGAGTACACCCGCTCCATGAGGTCCACGTGCTCTAGAGGCTTACTCTTGAATTTAGCACATCGGTTGTTCATCTGTGAAGGAGAAAACACATATGTCAGTACAGCTTGAAATGTAATTACAAAACAATAAATGTAACTCTTGAATTAAGTGTACACATCGTACGTTGTGGGTTGCCCAACATATGTTAAAGTAGTATGTTCAACAAGTCTTTGATTTGTTAAAAATAGTTATGTGAACAAAATATGGCAACTAAAATCAATGATACTAGTACAACAGTACTCGGGAACATAAAAGTTTCGTGAAAACGTACCGCTTGCATTTTGGCCCACCAATGGTCAGGTTCAGTGAACAAGCCTGTCTCATGGTCGTACCCAGGCCCTGTTAAGCCGTGGCTAGCATTCTTCAACTTCTTTCAGGCAACCCAATCTTTTTCAAGTTGTTAAACTTGTTTTTCATTTGTGTTGGCTAAATGTAGTAGGCCGATTTTCTGTAGAAATTTGTTTGCTACGTTCTTATACCCTGCCATGGACAATCCGCACGGTTGTCGATTACCACCTTCCATTTCAGCAATGATGAGTTGAAGAAACAGCTTTGTATTGTCGCTGTTGAATTGGCATTTGTGGACTGGCTGGGGTTGGGTTGCTGTGACTGCGTTACCTCGAGACTTTGAAGGGGTACGGGGTGATGATCGGTTTGTTGCCATGAGTAATGTTGTCCTGCTTGTAAAATTTACAATGCAATATTAGAAAGAAATAAAGTACAGTACATGTTGTTTGCATGGCCAAAAGTGAAATAAAAGTGTAAACACAATTCCTGCAGTAATAACAACAAACAGTACAACACTTTCCAAAAGACAAAGTCCGTTTGTAGTACACGTTGGGGAAATCTTATGTAACGGGACCAAAACATCACACTGATAGCAAAGTACATATGTCATACAAAAAGTAACTACGCAGTAATATCCATGACAATACATCACATCTGAAAGAACAACACCAAAACAACGACGCACAAAAAACCAACGACGGTCCTAAGCATACGTAGGCTTTGATCTATGTGCGCAATGTCCGCTTGTAACCCCTAATCGACATCATTATGTGGCTGGTCAGTACACGAACTGGTGCTGTGAAACTCGTCACACCAACCAACCCACGACGCATATCTCTGTTGGACAAAATTGCAGTTAATAGTTAGCATGTATACTATACGACACAACCACAAATGAACGATGACATGACTAAGTGCATAAGAGAGTGGCAACACAAACGCACCGTAGTTCTAGGGCAAACGTAGAACGCACGACCAGGGTTTTTGGCGGATCTTGATATCTTTACAACGCAATGTCCAAACCCACAATCACACATCCCCGGTGGCCATGATGAAGTGGCACTTGACGTGGAGGACGCCATCCGTATACTCCTTTGCTTTTTTTGTTCATGTTATAAATTGAACTAATATAATCTACAGTGCGAAATGAAAGACAATAACTGAAACAAGTTCATTTTGAATTTAGGTTAATACTTGAACATGCTAGTTTAGTGGTGTGTCGGGAATGTAACTATTTTGTTGTCTAAATTTGCACACTATATTTTCACTCCCTTTGATTTGTTTTTACTGACAATGTGCCTGCATTATGCTTTAGGTGACTCGTTTGCTATGGTTATGAATAAGGACAAAAAATGCTCCAAAAATAGCTAACTTGCTCAACTATTCCTAGTTAATGGTCCCTAAATATATTGAGAGAATGTTACTAAACTAATTAGCAGTTAGCAGTTAATATAGCCAAGTATAAAATTCCAAAAATAATCCCTTACATTAAATGCAACCAAACAAATACGTGCAAAAATGTAATGATTTTATGTAAAGGATGTAGTAAGAAATGACTTACAAAATTCTTCTATATAGAAATTATTTATTGAACTACATGTCGAATTAACTGTAAATTCTACATGAGTGTTGTATAACCTTCTGTGGCGAATCTCATGATGTTCAGCCAAATGCATGCGACAACTTTTTTTTGTTTTTTTTTTGTGTGTGTGTGTGTGTCTGCGAAACTGTGATAGATCATGGAACCTGCAGAAGATCATTGTAAAAAAAAGACACAATGGTTAGGTAATGAACTAATGGGAAAAGAGATTTATTTCTATTCTCTATGTTCTTCTTCCTTTATTATGTTTAGCTTTTATTTGAATTATCAATGTTAGAAAAACCGTAGACCTAAATGCACTTTGTTGATCATAAGAACTAGAAAAACACAAGTTAACTTTCAATTTCAGAAGACAAAAAGAGAGCTATAAAATTCATCCTAACAGCCACTAGAAAAACACTGAAAGGTCTTACTAAACTAACCCCTGTAGTGATGGCATATTCATCCTAGCAGCCACCAGAAATTCTCTACTGGGATTTCAAATTATTAAGACACCACAAAGATGATGGATAGAGAATCACTTTGATATCTTCCCTATGGTGTGCTTGGATGTGTCTTGGAATTTAGCCTTTTCATATCAGTTCTGTCTTGACAGCCGGTAAATGAAGGCCCTGTTACTGATGGTCTTATTTGGTATAACATACATTAAATTGTGCAAGCATACAAAAAGAAAATTATGTTTTAATGATGGTCTTATTTGGTATAATTTATATAAAAATTTGTTTATAATTTTTTTTTAAATCTTAAAAACTTGTATAGAATTATTAAAATTTAAAACAAAATTTATAATTTTAAATTTCTAATTGCCCAAATAGACTAAATAACTTTAATCTAATTTTGTTGGGACATTACTTGATTTCAAGATTGGAATGATTATTTGATGATTTTAAAATATTATTTTACACCATTTGTTATTTAACAATTGTTACACAATGTAAATTGACACTACATATCAGATTCATGCAAGCCACCAGAGCACAATGCTTAAAATGAACACAACTAGCCCCATATCATTTTGTTGTATCAACACAATGGTAGTAGTCACTGAAATTAATTAATTAAATGACTATAAACAAACTCTTCCAGCCCAATTCCGAAACTATACAAACAATTGCATGATCAGAAGGTCTTCCCAACAATATCATAAAAGTCATATGAAGCAACACAGTATGGTGTCCAATCCATGAAAGAGTGCAACTTTCAAGCAATAAGTCCACTTCACCGTATATATAACACATATGTATATATATACTACACTTCAGTTAATGAGATGCATTAGAATTCTTAGATCAATTTGTCATTGATCTAATCTGCAGGTGTTCTAAGTATAGAACACCTTGGTGTTTCAGATCAGGTATACAATCATTTTTTCACATCCGAAATCACAAGTGCAAACCAATATGGACCAACCATTATGAATGGCATCTGAAATCATAAGTGCAGGTCGTCCACAAGATTAAGAACAACTGCTGCCATGGTTTTGGGTCCGTTACTACTTGTGAGAAGATAGTAAATGAAAGACGGTTTTCGATGTAGCTGATGGTGCAGATCCGGCGAAGGCGAGGACGTGAACGACGAATCCGGCGGCAGCTTCGGCGGGGGACGGCAAGGTCGTCGATTGTTCGAGGGAGTTACATGGCGCTGCTTGAAGGAGGATTTCGCTATCGCAACCAGACTCTGAATGAGGCAAATGTGGCCTCGTTTTGCCCTAGGCCCCAATTTATGAGATAAGGGTAGTTTGGTAAATGGCTGAGTTGTGTTTCTAGCTCTTCCCAAATGGTGGATTCAGCTTTTTTCAACACTCCAGCGTTTTTGCTCTTGGCTAAGAACGCTGCGTTTTTTCAAAGTTCTCAAAACGGCACATAAATAACAAATAATAATTATAAATATAAAAAATAAAGAATTATGCACACAGTGGTGACAATGCTTTTATGTGTTTTTAATAATACTATATAAATTAATAAAATTAAAAAATTATCATACTCGCATTTAACTATTCAATTATTTTACCATATTATACTTATGACTTGTTATGCATTGTTAATTATAAAATTTCTAAATTCTTTAAATTTGTGAAAATATTAATTAAAAAGTTATTATATATTATCACATCACTATTTTTATTTTTTTATATTTTATTAAATAAAAAAATTAAAAATAAACTAAAATACTAATTAATTTACAAACGAGACATGTATAAAATTATAAATGTCACCCATTGAAAAATTATTGATTGATTTTAGAACGTTACATATCTTATACCGAACTAATCGTAAATCCCTACATGTCTTTAAAATTTTTAATTATTTAATATAAAATTGTAAAACTCATCATTTCATCGACCACAATTACAATATATGTGTGGCACCATGTAACTCCGCCTTAACCAACCAATAACTTCTCCACCCCGTGTTTGGACTTCGATGGAGCTCGATTGGTCTGGAAACGAGCTCTATAAGTCGATGAAGAAGAAGCCCTAGAGGTCGATCTAGGTATTTATCATTTAAATTCATTTATGAAATTTATACACATTTTTTAAATTGATTCTAAAATTTGTGTGATTCTGAAATTGATTTTGAAATTAGAATTTGTGTGACTTTGAAATTTTGATATTGATTCTGAAATTTTGAAATTGATTCTGAAATCTATGAAATTGATTGTTCACTAATTTTTTGGATTTGATTTGTTCTAAATTGATTATGAAATTTAAAAAATAAAATTTAACTAAAAATTATACTGAATTTTATAATTATTTTATTTTTTCTTCTTATAAATATCGCAACTAATTATAAAAAAAAATCTAATTAACTTTCTCAATATAATTTTTTTTTTCAATAATATTCCGCAACTAAAAAAAAAATTACCAAAAAAAAAAAAAAAAACCACTTCCCACACAGTCACTTTCTTTCATAAAATTAGATGAAACAAACGAACGCGAAGCTCGAAGCGAAGCACACAGAGATGGATCCGGTAACCAAACCTAAGAATGTGTACCACATTGGGGGCATCGCAGTGGAATTCCCGTACCAACCCTACGGTTCTCAGTTGGCATTCATGGGCAGAGTCATCTCCACGCTGGATCGAGCTCAAAGGGACGGTCACTGTCACGCCTTGCTCGAGTCGCCGACTGGAACTGGAAAATCTCTCTCGCTTCTTTGCTCGGCTCTCGCTTGGCAACAGAACTACCGGTCCAGGGCTCTCACTGCCAATCCCGCTCACTTGAAGCCTGCGCCGGAGGCCTCCATCGATCCCTTAGCTTATGGCGGTGGATTTCTTCCTGAAACTCAGCCTTCAGGTTTCTACGCTTTGGATTTTCGTTTATTATACTGTTTTTGTTCATCAAAAAATAATAGTTGCCCTAACCCTCTGTTTGGTTGCTAAGAAAAAGAAGAAAAAGGAAGAAAAGACCTCCAATTCATTGGCAATAAAAAGGAGCATAAGATCCTATCAGAAATGAAACCCAGATGTTACATCGATTGAACCATTTTATTTTTTAATGACAACAGTTAAATCTTTTTTATTTTATTTTACTTTTAAAGAAAACATTTTATTTGGTTTTGATGCAACAGAATGCCCCACTTTGTTTGTGTTTATACATTTTAGTTTGTTTGGTAAACGATGATTATTTATTTACTATGGAGAGAAAGAAAAGAAAAGAAAAAGAAATGGATAGAAAAAGAATTTCTGTCACTTGTTTGGATGATTGAATTGGTGAGAGACACCTCTAAGGCTACATTGAATTGTGATGCTAGTTTCTCTAAGCCTGTTTGGTTGGGGGATTTAGAGAGGTATTTTGAAAGAGAAAGAGAAAATGTGTGTGAAATTAGGTAAAATGTAACTATGTTTTATTCACATTTCACTTATCTTTTCCCTTTCTCTTTCCAAATCACTTTTCAAATTCCCAACCAAACACAACATAAGGCTAGCTAAAAAACCTCTCTTGCAGTAGTAATTTTGGACTGGTAGCGGAGAGTTGTTGATGCTATTGTCTCCACAATTCCATCGTCCTCTGTTCATCAAGGTGAAGCAAGAGCTATTCGATTATTGTGTTTGTTTGCTGTTTCTTTGGGAATTTTGGACCTTATGATTGAAAGTCATAGCAAATCTATAATTGAACTGAGTGTGTCTGAGAATGTTCCTCCATGGGATAGCCTTGCAATCCTCCATGATGTTTGTTGCTACAAGTCCAGAAATAGTCTTGAATTTAGGTGGATTCCTAGGACTGTTAATCTTGTTGCTCATTGATTAGCCTCTTGTAATCTGAAGGGTAACCTTCCTCTTGGATGGGTGAGGAGCCCTTTCAGATTTTGACTCTCTGTAAGCCTCCTTTTGGCATTTCTTTGTTAAAAAAAGAAAAAAGAAAAAAAGAAAAAGAATTGGTGAGAGACATAAATGTCAAAAATTAATTATCATATTTTGTGGGTAATAGTGTTAAGGCATCCTATTTTTGTAGGTCATGCTTTCTAGTTAAGTCGTACTTTTTTTGCCGTATCTATGATTAGGTACTACTTTGTTAACTGGGCGATCTTATGATGTTTTAGCTTCAGGAAATCCAGAGCCAGCTCCGTCTGCAACAAACAACAATTCTAAAAAGAAAAAGACAGTACCTACCATTTTTTATGCCTCGTAAGTTTGATTTGTTAGACAAGCACACGGAAAACACACACAACTGGAATTGTCTTTAGGAGGTTGACATTTAAATATTTATTCACACATCGTGTCAACAATTTTCATCTCACATTTCACATATTATTTAATAACCATATATATATTGAATTACTTGCATTTACCTAAATGTTTATTTATTTATAGATATTATAATCAAGTTATTGTTTCTTTCCATCACGTTATTCTGTTTTATTCTTAAGTAAGTATTACTTTTTGTATTGTTTTGGTTCCATACTTCCAATATTTACTATGCGCTTGTTGTGTTTGTGATATTGATATAATCACAAGATGAATTGATTCAATTACTGTTCTAAGAACCCAGAAAAATGTATCCCAAAAAAAAAGATGTGTGGACCAAATTTATTATAGGTGTGACCTGCACCACACAAGGTTCGAATCTACACCACATGTTTAATTTTTTGGGTACATAGTTTTTCCATTATTTTTTGGGTGAATAAGTTTTTCCATTATTTCATTGGGAAGACTTTTCATGCCATTCTAAGTCACAATATATATGCCAAGTGCTTGCTTTCTGTATCACATAACATGATTGTAGCAAAGATTTTAAAGGGAAACTCTTACCAGCAAATGCCAAGTGAAGATTATTGATAATCCCAGTTGAATGCTATACTGTAAAATTTCATCATACAGAGATCATTATCTATAGAAATTGTCCTGGTTTGAGAGTTAAATAAAATTGAGCTCTTAAACTTTTTAAGAATGCCTCCCAGAAACTTCTTTATGGGATGTATATTCTATTACCATCAACTTGTGATGAGATACTTAGATGCCTGATTGATTACTTACATTGATATTTACATTTTTGTTTTTGGCTAATTATTTAGGAGGACACATTCACAAATTACTCAGGTGATTCGCGAATACCGGAAAACAACTTACCGGGTGCCAATGTCAGTGTTGGTAGGTGTATCCCAATCTTTAAAGCTTGGCCTTTTTCTTATTGTGTTCCCCCCCTGTAATTTAGAAGTAGGTTTCACAAATTTGGGTACTTGGCTGACAAAATCTCAGCCAACAGTTAATAGGCACACTACCTGACACTTGAAAATAGGTGGAACACATTCTTTAATAACATACAGAAATGTTTGACATTTTATACATGGTCATCACTATTCAAGTATCTAAAAGTCATTTTCAATATATTCAAAGAACTTAATTGCAGAGAACAAAAAAATTATAATAAGAGAATTGTAGTAGAAGAAAATAATAGTGTATTTAATACATGTCTAATTTTATCTTCCTTATAAAACTGTTGTTAATATAATAAATAGAAGTTATCTATTTGTCAAGTAAATAAGTGTCTACATGTGTTCTTATTAAACTAAATAAAAAGAACAAGCATGTTTGTAACAAGAGTTAGTTATATACTGCATTGTCCTTGCCATTTTCATGTAGTTTAAAATTCAGAATTTATTTGTTTGTTTGCTTGTTTTTTTGTTTTTTTGTTTTTGTGCCTCATGTGGTGGCTGTGGCCCATGTCGTGTGTACACGCTTGTGCCACTTAGGAAAAGACAATGCTGGAAAACCAATGCTTGTGAATTGTTGTACTCCAAATTGGATATTATAACACTTGTATCAGGCTTCTTAATTGTTTGGCAATGTTTGATTCCATTCGCATGCACCTTAAGTTCAATTTTGTAGGGCACTTGCTTTGTCTTATATTCTCCTTTGCATTGGTTAGGTCTTTTACAGGTATAGATAACAATATAAGAATATTATTAGTCACTCAACATATGCTGCTGGTTTACTTCGGAAACATTTCACTAGATTATTAGAAATTAATTTCTTGTCCAAATTTGGAACATTAGGAATAGTTATTACTCATATCCTCCACCTAATAAGGTTAAGTGCTTCCATTATTTCAACTTGCAAAGTTGTAGTTCAATGCTTTAAAAATGTCCCTAAGGTTCTACTATTTTTTTCCCCCCAATTCTTATAATGAGTTGTACATAACAAGGAAAAGCCAGGGTGGCATCACAAAGATACAGTTGTCTTGTTATCTATGGTAAATCTTGCATCTTGTGATTTCAAGTGCTGCTCACCGATTGAAGCTCTGACATTGATAATGTTGGATTTTGTTTTATTATGCCAGCATCCAGGTCCTTTTCCATGTCCTGACAGCAAAGAGCATCCCAATTACTTTTTTTTTTTTTTTTCTTTTGAAAATTTTCTATGGAGCATCAATTGTGTTCAAACTTCAAAATATAGCAAAGACCATCCCAGTTTTTTTTTTTATTTTTTGACAATTTCCTTTGGAGCATTGAATGTGTTCAAATATATAGATTAGTATTTTTTGGACAAGAAATAGATATATTTAATTTGTACTTTATGTATGCAATAAGGACAAAAAATAGAGCAGTATTTTCTTGGAAACTCTAATATATATTTATATATATGTATTTGTTTATTGAGCAATGTTACATCCACTGAATTTTGACCTGCCCAAATCCCCCGAATTTGTGCATGCAAGCCATTCGGTCGGTCATCCGGCAACAAGGGTGACAGTTGCGGTTGACAGGTTGTCCAGGTGGTTGACTAGCATGCACAAATTCGGGTGATTTGGGCAAACTCAAATTCGGTGGATGAATTATTTTTGTTGTTTATTTGATTATTTAAATTATTTGACTAAGCAGATTAAGATGATTTAGATGAACTGGTAATATATATATATTTTTCTTGAATTGTCTTTCATTGTGTTTATCTTATCATTGACTATATAGTTTTTGAAAACTGCCTTTTTTTGCACTCAAGAAGTGAGATAGATTTAAAAAGGTGAGTGGTATGTTCATCAGATAGAAATTTAGGTGTACAGATTAAAAAAAGTGGTTCCCAAGTAATTACTTAAATGTTTTGAAACAATTTATCTGTTTTCTCTGTGTTTGACCTTTGAATTGGTTGTGTAAAAAGCACTCTTAATTTCTGAGTCATTTTCTTTTCTAAAAGTTGTTCCAGCTTAAGATTTAGTTCACTTTTTACGTGTATTATTAACTCTCCAGGCATCAAGGAAGCATTACTGCACAAACAGGCATGTACATGGCAAAGACAATATCAATGAAGAATGGTGATTTTTTTAGCCTTGGAAAGCTTTTTCTCTTAAATTTATTTACTTTTTTCTCGTACTATTATGCGCAACCAATCTTTTGTTGCCAAAAAACAAAACTTACGTGTAATGAAAATTTTCCAGCAAGTTGCTTCTAGACAACCAAGAAGTAGGATGCTCAGAATTCAAGTGAGTTTTTTCTCTATCAATATGTTACTTGTTTTAGTGATATTGCCAATGAAAGAGTGAAAAATGGGCTTTCTTCAAACAGAAATGTGCATAAAGTCAAAGGTCACTCATCTCTTAAGAAAGGAGGTTGCAACGAAGTCCATGACATTGAAGATCTTGTGAAAGTTGGATACGACGTGAAAGGTTTTTTTATTTTTCAAATTTATTTTACTGGTTTAGTTTAATTTAAATGTTCCCATCCCTTTCTTACAGTGACACATTTCCTCAATCTTCAGGTTGCTCATACTTTGCTGCACGTTCTATGGCAGATGATGCACTGTTAGTTTTTTGCCCATACAACTACATTGTTAATCCAATCATCCGCAAAGCAATGGAAGTGGATATAAGTGGGGCCATTATCATTCTTGATGAGGCACAGTATGCCTTACGAACCCCTCATTTGTTAGAGATAATTTGATATTTTTTTGTCTGCAATTCCTGGTTTATTTGCTGAGGAAATGTAATGAAGAGGGAGAAATTAAGGCTATGTTTGGTAAAACTGATAGTTTCCATTTTTTTTGGCAATAGAAAACATAGAAAATGTTCTTTTTTTTTTTTTTTTTTTTTGGGAAAATGAAAATAGGAAAGATTTTCACATATATTTGTTGAAAACAAAAATAAGAAAACAGTTTGCAAAAAGTCCGAAAGAGTGAGGGTTGCTGGAGGAAGGGGAGGGCACAGGAGAAGTTTGTAGAGGGGAGTGGCCAAAAGGGAGTTGTCGGAGGGTAGTGAATGAAAACTTGTTTGCAAAGCAAATGAAAACACATGTTTTTGTTTTCACTTGTATTTTTTATTGTAACTTTGAAAATTGTTGCTACTTTTATTTTATTTTTCCACAACAAAAACCCAACATGTTTTATTTCCTATTTTCAATATTTTGAGAAGAAAAAGAAGAAACAGAAAATGAAAACATTACCAAACTGGCCCTAAGATTTGCCATTCTGATTTATGACTTTCGGTTAAGTGATATGTGGGAATCACATTAAAAAGCAACCTCAACATCATGGTCAGATTTTGTTGGGACAGAGTACCCAATTTTTTGAAAATATGGCTAGGAGATTTTGTTGCAAGGTTGTATTGCCATGTAATCCTGAGTAAATAGTAATTGATTAGTTCAAACTCTATCTTTGTCTCTATCTTTTTTGTTTTAATTTGGTTAAATCATTTCAAATCTTATATCTAAATTAGTGTCACATCACTTGATTCCAGTAATATAGAAGACATTGCTCGTGATGGAGGTAGTGTGGATATTGATGAAGATGCTTTGTATAGTAAGTATTAGCCTGTTTCTTTCTATTAATAGAGATATGTTGATATATCTCTTATAGTTTTCATGCTTTTTTGAAAGAACTGCAGACAGAATTAGGGCAATTGACTTTTGTGGATTCAACAATTTACCAACCTTTACATGAAATGATTCAGGTAAATTTCAGGTAGTACTTCATAGTTTTGGGCTGAAATCTTTTAACAATAATGACTTGTAGTGTTTGTTGATCTTTGTAGGACGTAATAAGTTGGATGGAACAGAGGAAAGATACCTTGGAAAAACGTGAATTTCAGCATTATTTCTCATGGTGAGCCAAATTTTGCTGTTGATTCTTATTGTACGATTTATCTGCAATTGATCTTGTAGATGAGGTTGAACCTCTACTAGTATAAAGCAAGTGACAGGAATTATACTATAAATTATACATATTTTCTCATAAAAAAGGTTTGTCTAAATACAAAAAATGTGCATATTTTTAAAATTTTAATATCCCAACCTGCATAACCATTAAAAGTTTTTAAAGAGAGAACTGCCCAGTAAAAGATGTTGAAATATTTTGGAACCAGTTTCTAATTGGAAACTTAACAAAACTCACAGTTCCTATTTGAAGGGTGTTAATCTCCTACAATAATAGCTCATACCAAATGTTTTCTTTTATCTGTTACTGTATGTAATGATCCCTACTTTAGTAGGTCTCAATATCAGAATTCCTAGTGATTTTCCTATTGGTTTGTTTCTTTCAAATAAATCTCAACCCAACTGTGGTTGTTCCTTATCTCTCATCATTGTCATCTTCTTTAACCATTGAATTGGTATGTACAATATTCTTGAAAGGTTTCGCTGACCATGGTTTTTCAACTTTTGTAATGAGCATATTTGCATTTTCTATGCCTTAATTTATTCCTTTATTGGTTTAAAGGATTTATCTCAGACAAGTCTACACTGACATTTTCTTCTAAATCTTGTATTCATTAGTTGGAGTGGTGATAAAGCTTTAAGGGAGCTCCAAGAAGCAAACATTACACGGCAGTGCTTCCCTATATTGCAAGATTGTGCCACAAAGGTAAAACACCTTACAGAACTTAATAGGGTTTAATCTGTAGAGTTTACGTTATGCTGTTTATAAAATATTGGAGTTAATGTCATTATTTGTCTTTGCTTTTTTTCTTTGTTCCTTAGGGTGCTAAATTCTCTCTTTTTTTTTTTTTTTTTTGGTTAAGGCAATTAAAGCTGCTTCAGATGCAGAGCAGGAGGTAGCCCATTTAACTGGCATGTCAGCTACAACATTGGAAGGTTGTTGAGATTTCCTATTTTCATATCTGCAGACTCTGAATTTATCTACCAACTATTTCATTTCTAATATTTAATTGACTTTATGTGACACTTGCACAGGGTTGTTCTCTTCACTTAATTACTTCTTCTCTGGAAATGGGGTCCACATATATGATTATCAGCTTGCATTACAACGATATGTTAAAAGAGATGCTGGTAAGCTATTAATAGTGTTGTTTCTTTTACACCTTTATACTAAACCAAAACTGTTCACCTGATGAAACTAAAAAGGTTCTTATTTCCTTTATTGATATCTGAAGGGATGTATAAAATGCATGTCACATATTTATAGTGTGATTTCAAGTAATCAATATATATCCTCTTTGTAGCATCTGAATTCTGAAATGTTGTACAAAGAGAAAATAAATGTTGTCAATTAGGATGAAAAACAGTCTCACAACATGGAGAACTGAAGCTTCTGCACTTCTACATTGACATAAGGAGGGAATTGAGAGTTGTGCAACCTGAATTGTTCAACAAGGTTGAAAATGATATCAATTAGCATATTTTGAGTTGCAACCATATTCTCTGGTTTTGGAGATCTGTATTTGAGTCTTATACAAGCTGCTGAAGGTGAAAGAATAATTAGAACTTTTACTAGTATGGTTTAGAACTTACAACTGAAGTGATACTTATCTACACTACTTGACTCTAGAAGCCTCTCAATTGCTTTACCCAGGATTAGCTACTTGGATTGGTTTTCTAACTCAGCTCTATGCAAAGCCATATTCTAGGGTAAATCCAAGGTAAAGGATTCGCCCCCCCCCTTTTGGTTGCCCTCTTGTCATTTTAGCACCTTGAACTTGGATCAAGTCACTCCAAACTGGTTAATTAGTTGGGCTAAATTATCCTTCTCTATATCATCTCAAGCAACTTTTGCTCATTTTTTCTTCATTATGTAATTTACAGCAAAAGGGGAAAAAAATAGAAAAAACTGATGATGTAATGAACTTGAAGAATATCCCAAGGGAATTGGGAATAAACCGTTTCATGACATATTAGGCAAGTTGGGCATGAGAGATATCTTCGCACCAGCTTGAGGGGGTGTGTTGGCATATTATAATCACCGAAAGTCACTGAGTATTTTATTAGCCGAAAGGCACTAGGGTCTGTAATCATAGTTATGCCCTCAGGGATCATCTTGTAATTGTCTTGTTTGTAAACCCTAATCTTCATTTATAAATAAGGGGTGATATCTCATCATACCCTAAGCTGATTATTCAAGCTTCAAAAACTGATGATGTAATGAACTTGAAGAATATCTATGCTAGGTTATTATTATTGTTTTTAACAGAAATCTTATTCTTTTCATGGATTTAGCAATGTATTGTTGGTGCCAATGTTTCAGTTTTTTCATGGTGCATGCAGGGAATGCTGCAGCAGGCTGGACTCATACTTTGAATTTGTGGTGCCTGAATCCAGCTGTTGTCTTCAGAGAAATTGCTGATCTTTCTTTATCAGTGATTCTCACATCTGGGTTAGTATGGATACACAGGTGTAAATGCTAGTTGAGATTGTATTGGTGATTCTTAGGAGTGGTTTGGGATGTTCTAAATAAGTGCCTTTTTTGACTTTTTGGTGAAAAAAGTAGAGAAAAAAAAGATGTGTGTTTGGGGTAACTTTGACTTTTTACAAAAAAATGTGTAATAAAATATTATAGGAACTACCAAAATTACTCTTTTACCCTTCCTTCCTGACACAGCAGCAGGAAGAGTGGTTTCCGTGCATGTTGTTTACTGGCTCATGGGTTTTCGTGGCTCCCATTGTGCCACGTAATTGCACAATGGGAAATGCAGTGGAACACTGACCAGCAGTGTTGTGTTGTGCAATTATTGATAAGAATATTTTAAAAAAAAAAAGCCAGAAACCAATAAACTTGTAAAAAAAGAAAAAGAAAAACAGCTTGCTTGTTTAAAGCAAGGGCAATTGCCCTCTGAAGAGTCAGACAGAATTTTCCCTCCCAAACCATGTAAAAGTAAGAACTTTTTGGCTTTTTATCTTATTTAGAGTATGCCAAACCAGCCCTTAGTCTCACAAATGTACGATGCCAAGCTTATACAAAATTGGGCCCTTCTCTTGTCCAGAGCTCACAAAAAGTGTACCCACAAGCCTAGTAAAACTCCATGATGTTGATAACAAACCTTTTAGACCTAACAGGTGGTTGTATTCTCTCAGAAGTTTACATGCTTTACTAAAAATATTTCTATCAGTTTGAATGGTTCTTGCAAAGGTGTGGTGCCATTCTTCTTCTTCTTCTTTATCCCCACTCCCACCATTCCAGGAACATTCATCTCACCTTACATAAAAGATACTTGATATTTATAGTTGTAGCCTCTCAGACCATCATGACTTTGGGGAAGTCTTGTGTTTGTCCGTTTCTATTTTCTTGTTTGTTTTCTGCTTTTGTTTTTTGTTTCCCGCATATTTGTAAGTAATATTTTCTCTTTACATTACTTGTATTTCTTTCAATGATGTAGGACCCTATCCCCAATGAACTCCTTCTCATCTGAACTAGGGGTTCAGTTTGGAACTTCTCTGGAAGCTCCACACGTGATAGATGTTGAGTCACAGGTACTGACGCTGTATCTTATCATGTTTTCATGCTTACTAGTCAAAGTTGCCTCTGCAGCTGTTACTTAATATTAACTAGTCATTCTTTTGATTGCAGCTGTGGGTCGCTGTAGTCCCTACTGGTCCTGGTAATTATCCGTTGAATGCAAGTTATAAGACTGCTGATAAATATGCCTTCCAGGTATTGCTTGAGACTTGCCATTAAGTTTTGATCAATTGTGATTGGGCCTTTTGTTTTCTGACACATGAACTCATTATGATGGTATTTTTGAAGGATGCTCTAGGCACATCTTTGGAGGAAATATGCAAGATTGTTCCCGGTGGTTCTCTTATTTTCTTCCCTAGTTATAAGTTGATGGAGAAACTATGCAATCGTTGGCGTGAAACAGGTCAATGGTCTCGACTAAATGCTCGAAAATCCCTTTTTGTTGGTAAGATACTGAGATCCCTCTCCTTTCACATCAGTGACTAATGTGGTTGAGCTTATAACATAGAAAATAAGCCATATAGAGATGGTTTGTTGTGCATTTGGCAAGCCTTTTTTATGTATGCCGGAACTATTTGGAATTTTCTTGCCCCATTCATGCTTTGATGTCTCTTATTGATATGTTCTTGGTTGGATTGAGAATGCTGATATCCTTGTGGTCTGTTTAGAGCCAAGAGGAGGAAGCCAAGATGATTTTGAGCATGTTTTGATGGGTTATTATGATTCAATTCGTCAAAGAAAAAAGCCTGTTCTTGGAAGAAAGAGAAAGGGTAAAAAACTTGGACTTAGTAACTGTGATACAATGGAGTGTGCAGAGAATCCTACAGGAGGCGCTGCTTTTCTGGCAGTTTGCCGAGGAAAGGTATTCACATTAAAGCAAACCCGTTGATATCTTTATCTTATTATGAGTAAATGGTCTCTTCTTTTATCCTGTGAACTATAGAAATGTCTTCCCCTAGATTAGTGTGAACTTTCCATTAATTATTATTATTATTATTATTTTCTGTATTTCATACTCAAGTCTACCCTAAGTTTCGAATCCCATGTTTGGTTGGTGTATGGTTTTCCCATTGGATTCAACATTATAAACTTGATGTTTTATTTTGAATTAATCAGTAGCAAGATATATGCTTTGGAAGTTATGAAATGTCACATACAGATACATATGGCCATGAGGGAACATGCGAACATATTTATTTTCTACAATTGTCTATTGGCAGAGATAGTCATGCATCCTTTATTGTTATAAGACATGTATTTTCATGTGAAAAAGAAAAAAAAAATCAGGAGCTAGGAAGAAAATATTGTGAGAACATTATGTAATTATGGAAATATATCAATTTGGTTATTTGTGAATATTCGATTGATTGTATAGGGTTATTTCCTATTATAGATTAGGTTTAGGATTGCTATAAGTATTGGTTGTGATCTTTGTATTACGTACAATTGAATATACAGAAATATAGAAAGCTTACATGGTATTAGAGCGATGTTTGAAAACCTAATCAGCCTCTGAAGTTGTGTTCACTATCAACCTATGATCTCACTGGAATCGTGACCTACTTGGCAGAATCACGATTCATCTCTTCTGGCGAAGTCCCTTGTTTGTATCTCTGCTCCAACTCTTAGCTTGAATCGCGATCCATTGCGACCCATCTGCTTCTACATCATGACCCATCCGGCTCACGACCTACTTGGTGTCTGATTTTGGTTTGTTGGTCTTCTCTCTTGCCGAAGGACACCCCTCCGACGTGGTTCGCCTCTTCTCTCTAGTTGACTTGGTAAGGTGACCCATCTGGTCGACGTGGTTAGTTGTGCTTCGACTCCTCTCATCTAAGACTTCTCTCTCTGGTTCTGTTTCAGTTCTACTTCTCTAGTGTACTTTTGATTTGCTTTGATCGTATTTGATCCGACGAGTATTTAGTACTGCAATTAGTTTATTACAGTTTGACCACTCAGTTATCTGTTATTGCATTTTGACCCTACAAAATTTTGTTTATTACACTTGAACCCCTGGTTTGCCCAGTTTGTTCTATTTTGGGTTTATTACACTTGAATCCCTCAGTTTTCTAGTTATTATGATGTCTCTGGCTTTGGATGAATGCGTCTATTGCCATCAAAGGGGTCAATTGGAAGTACCATTGTCCCAAGAATGGATGTCTGTCTGCTTCGTCTTCTTAGCAGTTTTTGATCCAGTTCTGCGCCTCTCTTCTGAGTACTGTTCGGCCTCCTGTCGGTTTTATTATATCTGTTCCGACTCTTGATCCTAACTTGGCTTCCTTGAGTGCGCAGATTAGCCAGTTTTAGCATATATTGTCTACCTCCTAGCCATTCCCATTTGCCTCCATTGTTTATTCTCTTCATTCAGGCTTGCTTGGGTCTTCTTTAGGTATCTCTTCGTTTGTCTGGATTTTTGACTCTGGTGTCTCTCATCATATGATTCCTCATCTCTCCTTACCTCAAAATTATACTTCTCCTCCCTTCTTATCACCCTTAATGCTGCTAATAGGTCTTGTATGTCTGTTATATCTGTTGGGTCTGTCTTACTGTTTGCTATGTCTGCTGTCTCTATTCCATCTGTCCTTTATGTTCCTCAGTTATCTGTTAGTTTATTATTTATCAGTTAGCTTAATGTTTCTGGTTTTGATGTTATCTTTTCTTCTTCTATTTGTTCTGTGCAAGATCGGATGTTTAAGCAGTAGATTGGGACCGCCCATAGAGTTGGAGACCTTTATGTAGTGGAGAGCTTGCATATGTTTATGGCAACCTCTCTGGCTGCCTTTTCATCTTTTCAATTAGATTCTCTGTCTAGTCCTTTCTACTTGTGCCATTCTAGATTAGGGCATTTGTCTGCTGATCGTTTACGGTCTTTAGCTTAGTCTGGTATATTGGGCAAAGTTTTTCCTAGTGAATTTACTGAATGTTGAGGGTATAAACTTGTTAAAACGACAGTCTTAGCTTTTCATAAAAGTACTTCTATATCTGATACACCATTTTTTTTAATTCATATTGATGTTTGGGGCCCTTTTCCTGTTCTCACCAAAGGGGGTTCTGCATATTATGTGTTAGGGCTGTTCACTGATCGGTTCGGATCGGGTTCACCATTGAATTGTGACTCGAATCGACAGGTTTGGGTTGAACAAAACTCAACTCGATTTTGACCGAAGGTTAGTTCAAAACAGAACCACATAACCCACTCGGCTTGCGGTTGGTAACGGTTGGGTGTTTCTGACCCATTTGCTTTGTTATAGTAAACAAAGGAGAAAAAAATAAAGTTGAAAAAAATGTTGAGACAAACGGGGATAGGATCAACTAAAACCCTTCAAAGTTTTCATGGGATCAAGCTCGTAATGCTTTAGGGGCTTGATGATGAGTGTAATGGTAGAGATCAGCAACAAGGGGGGTCGAATGAAGGTCAAAGAGGCATTTTTTCGAGTGTCCTGCTATCGCAATCTCATCGCAAACATTTGCTCCTGTGTTGCTGAAGAGACCCCCACTCTGCTGTTTTGTTTTTGCCTCTGCTCATCGTTCAAGTTAGTGAGACAGTATAGGGAAAGGGTTAGGGTTTGTGAACTTGATTTGAGAGGAGAGGAAAGATTTGTTCAAAGTAAGTGAGTGGGAGAGGAAGAAAGGGGTTAGGGTTTGTGATCTTGATGAGAGACAGAGGAGAGATTTGATTTTGACATCAACATATATATATATATATATATTTTGATATTCATGTAATCAGAGATGTTGATTTTATGAGAGAGAATGTAAAGCAATTATGACATAGATAAATATGTACCAATTTTTTTGACTTTATGAGAGAGAATGTAGAGTCATAATGCATAGATACAGATGCAATCAGTTTTATTTTGTTTTTAATATATTTATAATCTCATCTTGATTTGATGAGAGAGTAAAGAGACATAATGGTACAGACTAAAAGTAAATTTTTTCTTGATATTGATGCAATCAATTCTTAATCTGATGAGAGAGTGTAGAAAAACCATGATGAAGATAAAATATAATATTATATACGCAACAAAACCTTGCCATTTGTATGGAAAGACTTGTGTAATTATTAAAATTCGGTCGGTTCGGATCAAACGGGTGAATTTCTCACAAACTCAATAACCGATCGACCACTTGAAAATTTTATTAATCTACACCCGTAGCCAGCTCACTTATGCTGCGAAACTGCTCATTTCATTAATGTTCAGGTTAGTATGATTCGGATTTTTGAACAACCCTACTATGTGTCATTTGTTGATGACTGTACCTGTTGTGAGAATATGTGTTCTTCTCGGATTAGGATTAAGTGTCCTATGTCTATTAGACTTCTATATATTTCAGTAATGTATTCATGTAGGGTTAGGAATTAATTAGTGGTACTCTATATAAATGATGTATGTATTCTTTGTTCATATTAATTCAAGACTAATATACAGTTTTGTTCAGAAAACTTACACCTGTTACACCTGAATTTATCTTATGACTCATAAGTTTAACTTCTACCAGATATACTGTACTTTCTAGTCTATGGTTACTACACAGTTTGGATCTACTATTAAATTATTGCTGTTTGACTTGGGCGGGGAATATTTTAAAATTGAATTTTGTGAATATTTGGTCAATTTGGGTACTATTCACCAAACTTTTTGTACTGATACACATGTCCAAAATGGTTGAGCTGAGCGTAAATACCGTCATCTCCTTGAGACAGCTAGGTCTCTCCTTTTCTTTGCCTCCGTTTCGGCTCCATTTTGGGATGAGTCAGTTCTTATTGCTGATTTTCTTCTCAACCGTATGCCTATTTCCTTTCTTTCTAGTCGGTCTCCTTATGAGATTTTGTTTTCTCAACTTCCTAATTATTCTCTTCTTCGTGTGTTTGGGTATGTTTGTTTTGTTTTTTTTTTTCCTGTAAAGATAGGACCAAACCTAGTGCCTGGTCTGTCCTACGTGTCTTTTTGGGTTATAGTTTCCTTCAGAAAGGTTATCGTCGTTATGACCCTATTTCTCATTGCCTTTATGTCTCCGCCATGTTACCTTTCTTGAACGTCTACCTTACTTTCAGTTTCCTCCTCTCACTGCCCCAATTTTCAAAAAGGGTTTGGTTCATGTTGATCCGTTTCTTTCTGAGGCCTTGTCTGATGAGTACATCTCCACAGTTCCTGCTAAGTTTGTTCCATCTTCTCCTCTTGCTTCACTTTTGGCTGCTTTTCCTTATTCGGTTTCTTCTCCTCCTTTGTCAGTTTATTCTTGTCACTAGGCTTCTCCTCCATCGGTTGTCTCTACCCCTGCTGTTGATCCTCTTGCATCTGACGACTTAGATTCTGTTGCATACCGATATTTTACTCGAGCGTGTCATCCTCCAAACATGTTGGGTAGGTCTAATACATGTTTTTCTACTTTCTGTCGTACTTTTTTGTCTGTTATTCACTCTTTTTCAGAACCTCAGTCTTACAAGGAGGCTTGTCAGGATCCTTATTGGGTTCAAGCTATCGAGGATGAGTTGCCTACTTTACAGAACACTAGTATTTGGAAGTTGGTTCCTTTGCCTGCTGGTAGGAATCTAGTTGGTTGCAAATGGGTTTACAAAGTCAAGACTCATTTTGATGGTTTTCTTGAGCGTTACAAAACTCGCTTGGTTGCCAAAGGTTTCTCACAGGAGTATGGTATTGATTATGAGGAAACCTTTGCTCCTGTTGCCAAGATGACTATTGTCTGAATTTTGATCTTTGTCGCTGCTGTTCGTTTTTGGCCTCTTTATTAGATGGATGTTAAGAATGTTTTTCTTAATGGCCATCTCACTGAGGAGGTTTACATGCGTATCGCCTTCGGCTCAGTATGGTCTGAAGTAGTCTCCTCGTGCTTGGTACGATCATTTTCAAACTGCTGTTATTAAACGTGGGTTTCATCCTAATGCCCAGGACTCTGTTTTATTTCTTCTCCACACCTCTGTTGGATTTTGTAAGAATTTATGTAATTTATGTATTATTGATTTATTGATTGATATATTGTATTACAAATCAGAGTGGCATTATATAGGAGAGGGTTTGGGTAGTAGGTGAGGAGTAGTGGAGTGTAGTAGGTGAGTGTGAGTAGTGGAGTGTAGTAGGTGAGTGTGAATGGTAAATTCTAACAGCCCCCCGCAAACTCAAGGAGGATAGAAACTAACCAACTTGAGTTTGAAGAGAGGAACAAAATAATAAATACATAAAAATAAAAAAGGATAGGAGACACTGTATGGTCGTGTCAGACCATTGGTGAAGACACTGAAAGGTATCGATTTTGACTTCTTGGAAAAATGTGATCATGTTCTCTTAGAGTCTTATTCCCCAGTAGTTGTTCAATCATTATTGTGCTTCAGAATTAAGTCTGGGAGAGAAATTAGTTACGGTGACAGTCCGTTTGATGATGTGTTCTCGTTTATTTGTTGCAACTTCAAACTTCTTAGAGTGTTGAACATATGGTACATCAATGCCTTCATTTCAAGAGAATTAACACAACTAGTTTATTTGAGGTATTTGGCAATTAATTTGAAAAGTTCTTGTGGATTACCGCCATCAATATCCAATCTCTCAAACCTAGAAACACTTATTATTTCTACACAACGGGGTGAGGTTATTCTTCCATGTAATGTTTGGAAGATTCCAAAGTTGAGGCATCTTTATGCTAAAGGAGGTGCAAAAGTTGACGTGTTTTTATGTTCTGAAGAAGAAGTAACAGATCCCAACTATCCCTTTTTTTTGGTGAATGATCACAACCATCCCTCCCAGTCTTTATACCTACGAACCATCACTAACTTAAACTGTTATGGATTTATTCAGGATTTATTGGCAAGAACTCCTTTTCTTACAGAGCTGGGAATTTGTGGACAACTGTTTTCAGATTCGGGGAATTGGATGTTTCTTAACCTAGAAGTTTTAAGACACCTTGAGACTCTGAAGCTATGCAACTGTGGAGCAAAGAATGGCAGTGCAGTCGGATGTGGAAGCCAATCAGTATACATTGAAGTCATGTGTGGAGACCATAATGGCGGTCAAAAACTTTTCGCACCGGCTGCAGAGTAGGACAAATGAGTTGCAGCATTTAAACTCCCAGCTGGCTCTGCTCCAACGCATGTATAAGGATGCGCGAGCAGAGATAAGCGTGCTAAGGGCAGAAAACAAGGAGCTGAAGCGGAAGGCCACCGTGATGTTCCGTTTTGGAGGTCCGTCATATTCGGCAGTGGAGGAGCAGGGAGTAGTAATCATGCCCAGTGGAGGGGGAAACACGGAGGCAACACCAGCAAGGGCCGTCCAGGACGGAGGCAAGAAGAAGAGACCGGCGGCAGAGTAGAAAAATCCCGCCTGTGGATGTGTGTTGTTGAATGTTGTTTTTTTTTTTTTTTTTTTTTTTTTTTTTTTTTTTTTTTTTTTGTGAAAAATGTGATCGGGGTTGATCCCTGAGAGAAATAAAAGATGGTTTGTTGGGCAAATTGCTTTTTTGTTTTTTTTGTGTTTTTTTTTTGTTTAAAAATTGATGTATTATGGAATTATGTATCTTGTGTTTATTACAAGACATTTTACACAGTCGCCCCCTGTTACAAGAAATGAGTGTTGTTGATAATCACTATGTGGCATAAATTAGGAGTGAGACAGATATGAATAAAAAATAAATTATGGGCGAAAAAAAAACGTTTTTTTGTTTTTGTTTTTTTGTTTTTTTTTTTTTTTTTATAATAATAATAATAATAATAATAATAATAATAATAATAATAATAATAATAATAATAATAATAATAATAATAAAGTAATGGAAAGCATGTGACCTGATAAGATGAAAAGAAAAAGAAACAAGGGGGACAAAAGGTGATGCGGGGTTGGAGTTGGGCGGTGGCAGAATAGTTTAGAATAAAAAAATAGAGTAAAAGCTGAAAAAGAGGAAGGTGGGAATGAACTGGATTTTGGGTTGAATGAACTTGATGTTTGGATCATTGGAGGTGATGAAGCTTTCTTGAGCATATCTCTAATCGACAAGGGTTGACAGGACGATGAAGCAGAGGCTCATGACGAGGACAACGGTCGGGCTGATCTTGAGGCCTGGGGCGTCGTCGGTGTAGAACCTGAGGGCGTTGCTTCCGGTGCCGCCGCCGTTGAATCCAGCGGAGCCACCAGCGGAGGAGGAGGAGGAGCCGAGGCGGCGGCGACGCATACTAATTACTTTGTATTCCAGAAAACCAGATGGTGAAGTTTTCAAAAGAGCTCGAAGCTCAGCTCATTCCTGAGTGGAAGGACGCTTTCGTGAATTACTGGCAGCTCAAGAAACACGTCAAGAAGATCAGACTCTCCAGAAACCCCAAGCAAATCCCACATCACTCCAACAACTCCGATTTCGGCTTCTCAGTTTTCGACCCAATTCAGGTCGCTGTCAGTAAGATCTCCGATCACTTCCGCAATGCCGGTGATAAACCCGAGATCATCCAGGTGAAGAGCAAAATCACAAGAGGAGAAGATGGTGCTGTAGAAGAAGAATATGGAACTGAGCTTGTTCAGCTGTTCTCTGAGGAAGATGAGGTTAAGATATTTTTTGAGGGATTGGATGAGGAGCTTAATAAAGTGAACCAATTTTACAAGACTAGAGAGAGTGAGTTTCATGAAAAAGGTGAGTTTCGAGCTAGAAAAGCAGGTTGGTTGAACTTGCAGAGAGAGAGTAGAGGTCCGGCGGGCGGCCAAGGCGAGGCTGGAGTAGTGGAGTGTAGTAGGTGAGTGTGAGTAGTGGAGTGTAGTAGGTGAGTGTGAGTAGTGGAGTGTAGTAGGTGAGTGTGAGTAGTGGAGTGTAGTAGGTGAGTGTGAGTAGTGGAGTGTAGTAGGTGAGTGTGAGTAGTGGAGTTGGGTAGTAGGTGAGGAGTAGTGGAGTGTAGTAGGTGAGTGTGAGTAGTGGAGTGTAGTAGGTGAGTGTGTAGTAGGTGAGTGTGAGTATTGGAGTGTAGTAGGTGAGTGTGAATGGTAAATTCTAACAGATTTTAAAAATAAAAAAAATAAAAGAGGTTTACATGCGTATCGCCTTCGGCTCAGTATGGTCTGAAGTAGTCTCCTCGTGCTTGGTACGATCATTTTCAAACTGCTGTTATTAAACGTGGGTTTCATCCTAATGCCCAGGACTCTGTTTTATTTCTTCTCCACACCTCTGTTGGATTTTAAAAATAAAAAAAATAAAAAAAGTATTCAAATGAACATTTTCTTATCTCTCTTTTGTAAGGAATGGCTAGAGTGGATGGAGCACCTGAAAATTGATCATATAGATCTGCATGGGCTGGATTGGATGCTGTAGCAGTATAAAGGAGATGCCCTGGTCGTGGTGAGCCAGCATAGTTGAATAGGCTTATACTCTTCCTGTCAGGAGTTAGCTACTATGAGTGAGCATAGTTGTTCGTCAAGAGTAGTGAAGGTTTGCTTGTTGGACAACCTAAACTCATAAATGAACATTATGGCAGACTAATTTGGTCCAAGTTGAGTTTCCAAAAGGACAATAGGAAGTCTAAAAGTGTGTATTAAGGCTGAATGAATTTATATGTTTGCCTTGAACTTAATTGAGGAATTGAGAATATGGCTTTACATAGAGTTGCCAGAAACCAGGAATCCATGTAGAACTGAAGTAATTCGGATTAAATTTTGTTGTGTATTAAGGTGCATGGAGTTTCAATATGATTGTCCAGTGACAGGATATTGATTTGCATGAGGTAAGCAGTTTGCTGCAGCTGCAGATTTTGTGATCATTTCTGAAGGACAATGCTGACATTTGCTGGATAAACTTTGGTTCAAGGGGCAGAACAATTTGATTTGATTTTATATTTCTTTTAAATCTTACTAATTGTATCTCAAAAGTCATAAAAAGCTTGTGAAATTCATAATTCCATTGTCAATACTACAGTACATTTTATAGTACGCTTAACCACTGATAAGTGCACATGAAAGCTGTCTTGGAACCTAAATTGTGATGACTTACTATTTTAGGCACTTGTCCTGTGCATCCTATATGAAATTCTTTCCAGATCGTCATATTTGGGTGTGCAGCCATCTTCTCATAACTTATGTTTCTTGCATACCAATATTTCAATACGATATATGTAAGCCTTTCACAGACCAGCTTAATGTAAATTCATAGGTTGGCTTTGTTTTTATATCTGTACTTCAAATTTGTGCAGGTTTCAGAAGGAATTGATTTCTCTGATGAAAATGCTAGAGTGGTTGTATCCTTTTATGCCTTCATTTAAGTTTATCTAGCACTTCAATTCATAGAACATCTCAGACCAAAAGAGATTATGTATTTGCTTTATAAACGGATCAGACTGTGTTTAGTGGATTTTTACTAATGAGAGCCAATCCTAGGGATAGGAATCTTGTTGTGTTGGTTGTGTTAGTGTTATGTCATCTCAGGTTCATGTCAAAATCCCCTCAACACTAGTGTTTTAGTGAACAGCTATTCCTTGTTTACATCTCAAAACTTTATTCAACTGGAAACGTGCTTATTTTTGGCACTTATTTAGATGATTGTTGACAATCATGTGTTATTTCTTAACTTTGTCAGATAATTGTGGGCATTCCCTTTCCAAACATGTAAGTGTTCTCACCTTTTCTTTCATTTTCTCATTTCCTTGTTTATTTATTTATTAATTTGAACTAGTATCCTATATGACGTGTTTGTACATGCTGACCTGATTCAATTTTATTATCAGAAATGACATTCAAGTTGCTCAAAAGAAGAAATATAATGACACATATAAATCATCTAGAAACCTTCTAAGTGGGAACGAGTGGTACTGTCATCAAGCCTTTCGAGCTCTCAACCAAGCTGCAGGTATGTCATGTTATTTACACTCACTCCAAGCTAAGTATTTGATCTGTGTAGTTTATTAAATTTCAATCCCTGACTACGCTAGTTAACGGAGACTATTTAGAAGTGCTGCCCCCATTGGTCTTCTTCTTCTTAGTAAGATTATGTAGGTTGAGTGGCAAGGGTTATGATGATATGTTTAGTTAATCTCTGTACTTGGGCTGTTATTTCTGTTTCATTGCAAGTTCTATTTGATTCTTGCTATATAAAGTTTGGTCCATGTTCAATTTTAAGCCAATGCATTTTGGATGATCCCAACTAATAAGTAGTTTTGCCAAAGAGCCCCTTAATTTGACCTAAGGTTCCTTTTTAGTTGTTGCCAAAGTCCCTGACTAATTTGTCCTGACAGCTATTTTAGTTGTTTCCCACACAAGGGCAATCAACTACTAGTTTTTTTTTTTTTTTTTGCAAAGCATGGCTGCGTTAGGCCTACTTTTTAGCCCAAGCTAGACCAGAAGGCAGGTTTGGAATTTGAGCCTAAGCCAAGTTATAGAAAGGTGTGTAACATTGCACACATATCCTTTTCTTTTCTGTCCATAAATATTTGTGGCCATGCCAATTCTTGTTGTCTCACAAAATTTCTGATTACTATGTTGTGTGAGGAATACCGTCAATATGATGAGTTTTAGCATTAGACAGTGGTGATGTATTTAACAATGTTACTTGCTGCCTTGTTTTTTGTAGGCCGTTGTATACGACATAGGTTTGATTATGGAGCCATCATCTTACTAGGTATACTATTTTCTCTAGTTCATCGATTTTTAATATCAGTTCTATTATACTTTTGTATAATAGGGATATTGATGTCATCGTATTAAATTTTTTTTTTTTTTTGGGGATCACGGTTATCAATTCCATCCCTTTTTGGAATGTTTTGTCTGCAGTTTTCTATCTTGTATGAAAGTGGTTGAGCTTTTGTTTAGTACTGCATTGGGTTAGCTGATTTTCTGGTACTTAGCCCGTTCCCTGTCATGGGCATTAAGCTGAAAGAAACTGCTTAAGCCAACTGAAAAGCAGAACTGAAAGACCTATTTCATTGTTCTGGACAGATGACGTTGGTCCACAAAACCATTGTCCCACCCAATCCACTTTTCCCTCATCAACCGGGAACAGGAAGAGGTTGCAGAAGATTCTAATTAGAACAGAAAGAACATGATTTCTATATAATTGATTCACAAATTTAGAGGAAAGCCTTGTACAAAATAAGCTTTGGGCCATTTGGTTTAATCCTTAAGGTTGATTACTTGATTTATGGTTCAGTTATTCAAATAAATATGTTTTAATATTTGTTCTTATATTTTGAAGTTTCATTAGACAATAAAGAAATACAGAAATATAAGGTTCTCTACTCATAAAGAATAAGACTTTCCCCCAAGAAAAGGACAGGGAATGATATGGTTTTACATATGGGATTTGACTAGCATTTTGTACAATATTCAAACGTCAACTATAGTCCTCATCTCTCTCATTGTTGGATCATTGGATATGCTGTGGACGTGTAGTTGGTTTTACAAGGCCTGAAAAGGAATTCTTGTTACAGTAGACCCCGGACTGCACAAGCTAGTTGGTTTTCTTTTAACCGTTAACAAATTTTGAAAATAAAGTTTTTGTTAACTTCTGTCTTGATCTCACTTTACCCCTCCCACTTGTTTGTACTGATTTAGGAGATCATTTTTTCTTCTTTTTAAATGTAAACCAATTTATTTAGAAGTTCCCGTAAAACATTGCTAGTTTTTTTTAGTTACTAACATTACTTGTAACATTGTCTTCCTACATTGTAAACCCTGCCCTTTTATCTAGTATGGTATTGTTGACACTGCTTTTATCTATTTATTTGCAAACAGATGAGCGTTTTCGTGAAGAAAGGAACATAACATACATTTCAAAGTGGCTAAGGAAATCCATTAGACAGTATGACAGCTTCGATAAGTCACTTGAGGAATTAAAATCATTTTTCAGAGATATAAAGGTACCTCATAGATCTTTTTTTATAAAACTTCATTATTAAGTCAGTGGATGACAAACATCAACCAAGATTTTTTTAATATAAACTGATGCAGGAACGGGTTGGCAAAGAGGATGTTAATATTGCACAGAATTCTGATGTTAATGTGGACGATATCTCTGCTATGAATCAGGGAAAATGGTTCACAAGAAAAAAAAATCAGAAAGTGAACAAAACTAGTAAGTGTGGATCAAAATTAGTTTCAAACAGCATGATGTCAATGGAAAAAACTGCCAGGTTATGCCATTCTCCAACTTTTGCTCCAAAGTATGATGCCACATTAATCCAATCAGAATCTGAAGACTGTGTAGAAGTTCAAACATTGCTGCCAGATGAAAAAAATATTCGCAGTTCCAGAGAATACGTTGACCTAGAATGCAGTTTCCAGAACAACTTCAGGTGAATGTTGAGCCCCTTATTGCGCATTAATTTTCAAATTTGTTCTGAACAGTTAGAAGTTTCCTCTGGTCTTGAGGTTATTGTTTCTAGCTGTCTGCTTCCCCTTTGGGAAGTTTCTCAGATCACCTTGCCGAGTCCTGCTTGCAGTTTAAGGTTTTCAATTTAAGTAGTGAGACCAATTAATTAGAGCATTAGTTGTACTTTGCTTTGGCAAAAATCAGAATTGCTCTGGCAATAGCAGCAGCCTCTGAAGTGTTTTCTTTACCGAAGACATCTCTGTTTTTTTTTCTCTTCGTACATATTGAATTTGGAGTTCTTATATACATTCTACTGAGGAATCTGTTTTAGTACGTGATTTGGATAATTAGAAATGGAGAAAGCAGAAAAAATCTCTTATTATATTTTCCCCAGTTTTGTTCTTCACCTATTTTTGCTTTTCTTTGTTGATTTGCTTGCAAGTTTCTAAACCAAACCAAACCAAACCAAACTAAGCCATGTGTTCCAATCAAGTGGGTTGGGCTACATGAATGAATCCTTCTTTGACATATTGCTCTATCAAGGGCTAGTTGAATTTATCTTATTTATTATTTTTTTACCGGAAAAGGTTCTGTTCTTTGTTTGACATACTTGGTTAACCATCTCTTCAACTCTGTTACAAGGTGAATTCTATTTCTATGTAGGTGCTCTGGGGCTTTATCAATGGCATTTTCCCCTGACGATGAAGTATCCATTGTCAAGGAAACCCCTAGTATGGATGCCAGTCTCGCTCTAACTAGTTCAGGATCCTTCCCCAATGATGAAGACTCTAGTTCAACAATAATTCAGGTCCCTACCGAGTTTCCGGACCAGTTATTATTACATTCCACATCCCCATCAAATTCAAATGCAGGTCCTGCTAAATCCTATTGTTCATTGGTGGTCACTCCCCAAAAAAATGTCAATGCAGATACAGAATCTGTCTTGAATTTGAGTGTCAATTCTCATACCCAGAAAAAGAGAGAGCCTTTATTACGGTCAACATTAATTAACCTTACCCAACCGGGAGAATTCGATGCTCCTGCTCCCAGAAGTCTGGGACATGTTAGTTTTATGGCAAGTTCCACAACAAATAAAGATGCAAATAATAGAACTGAATTTGGTTTGGAGACTAGCCATCCTCAAAATGAATTCATGATGTCTTCAAGTCATGTTATGGACAAGAGACTGCAAATTCTTTGCTCACTCTGCAGGAATCCATTGGGCCTTCCTGAGAACCATTTATATGTTAGTTGCTCCATAACATCCTCATCAAAAGTCCAATTGACAACTCTTTTGAAAAAAAGGTCTGGAGATCCTGCTGAGAATACATCGACCAGTGTTCCTGTTGCGATATCTGATATATCATCAGTTGATCAGCGGCTCTGTAATAGAGCTTATGAGGGCGCTGCAGGACAGGGAATTTGGTGTAGAGAAGATGGATGTGTATTCAATACTGTGTTCTGCCCCTTCTGCAGTAACCCTGGCAATTGTCTTGGTGTACAGGTCATGGCAACTGATGCATCAAATGTTCAATTACTTAACAAGGTGTGGCTTATTCTAGCAATTTACTTTTCAAATCAAGTGTGCTTTATCTTCCTGGGACGTGGCTGGTTGTGCTCTGGCAATTTTTTTCTTACTGATAAACTCTTTCCTGACTACTTGCTTCATGTGCAGATATTGTTTTATCTTGATCGTTTGGAAATAAAGAATCTTGAAGCATCAAAGGAAAAGGTAAATTTGTTACTCTTTTGTTGTTGAGGGGTTGCAACAACAGTATCATGTAAAAGGAAAAAACTAAGAGATGTTGAGCAATTGGCAGCAAACTATTTGAAAAACAGTGCATTTGGTTTCACATTGAAGGACTCACAAGATTATTGTAGGAAAGAGTTACTAAAATTTAAATCAAATTTTCTTGTGCAATTCTTATATGAAAATCATTCTCTTTAATGGAAATGGTAAAGGAGTTCCCCAGTAAAGAGAAGATTTTGGATCTACTTTCATGTTGGCTTTATCTGTTCTTGTAAACCAGTTTACGTAGACCATTCAGGTTGTGTTTAGGAATTTGGAGAGCTTGTAATTTAATCAGGGATTTGAGGTGTAATTTACATGCTTTTCTTAAAAGACGAACTAACATTTGTGAACTCAATTGTAGGATTTACCACCAGTTCGTGGCTCAAGTGTAGGTAATTGTGCAGTTCCCATGTCAATTGAGAAATTCTCATACATCCCACCTCAGCAGAACTCTGAAGGTTGGAGGACTACAAAATCAAGGGTAAGGGTTTAAAACATCTTGAGCTCTAATTTTAAGGTTATCCATCTAGACCAAAGTAACAATTTGTTTATCAATCTAGCAGATGCGATTGCCAAAGAAAGGGCTGCTTCCTACCACAGGGGACTGAGGTTGAACCTAGAAAAGATTGTGAGAGATTTATGGTTTTGTGTAATATAAAAGGATTATACAGGGCGCTTGCCATTATTAGTGCCATCAAAATGCTTGAAAGTTGGTGTGAGATAGAGATCTTTTCTGATGGGAGGTTTTTGAGAGGGAAGCATGCGTTGTAAATGACACTGGAGTAAGTTAAATTTTTTATGCCACCTTGACCTAATGGGTTATTTGACCTCGCAGTTTGCTGCCTTGCTTGACCTTGATTGTTGAAAGTTGAACTGGTTTGCTCCCAATCGTCTATGGGGTGCATTTCTTGTGATTTTCCCAGACCTGATGAGGTGTTAGTTGACCTTTCAGTGCAGCATAGCTTGCAGGCAGTTGACAGCTAGGAGAATGGCAGCATTCCAATTTGTTTGACACATGTGATATGTGCCAGGCTATTTTGTATTTCCAAAAATCAAAATTTGAGTTGGATGAATCCAAGTAGTATTCATCTATTGTGACAATAGTATTGGCACTTATTTGGCCAAGATTTTCATTTGTTTATAAAAATAATAAAAATGCATCCCATTTCTAATACAAATTTGCATTTAGGTTGTATGGCTCGAGTCCGGGATAAGGAATTGGCTGTTGCTTGTGGTAAATGGAATGTCATTTGAACTTTAAGTCAATTTAGATGCTTACTTGGTATTATGTGTAGTGGATAGATCTTCAATTTCATCTTCCATTCCACGGTGCACTTTCTCTCTGTAACAAGCTTTGTTCTAGTCTTTAAGATGTCAGTAAATGACATTCTAGTGATATTATATATAAATAGTATTTTAATGTATGTATGGTTAACACGAGCCCCAATTTGCACATATCATCATTTGTGGGCACAAAATCATGAAGTGCTGTCAATGTATGGAACATCTTTTCATATCCAATCTAGTTTTTTTATTTGATCTACTTTTTGACCTTAATGCCTCTTGTTTAAGATTTAGGTCCTTCTGTTTCAAAAGTACATGAAAAAAACAAAAAAAACCTGTTTTCGGTAATTAATTCATTTTCTTATGTGACAAAGATATGATTCAATATTTTCAACCAATATTGGATACTCAACTTGTTTGGTTTAGTTTTTGACTTTCTTTTTTTAAATTTATATTTTAGTGTTTTTGTTGTTTCTTAGAAAATTAGATGCGGTTGAAAGGTAAAATATTTGTGAAAAAAATTGAAGACAAGAAAACACAAAAAATGTCTTTGTTTGGTGTTTGTTTTTTTTTTTTGTCCACAAACATTTCACTTCTTTATATTGCATTCAAATTAGTTGCATTTTTTGTGAAAGCAAAACATATAAACCAAGGCTGAAAGCAAAATGTTCCTTTGAAAGATTGATTCACTAAAATTGGTACTAGAATCAAACAAGCTAGACTGCTAGTTTGATGACAGACAGCAAGAACGAGAATGGTTCTGGTGGAGATTAGTAGTGGCACTTATGGTCATGAACATGGACATGGAAGGCGTGGAGGAAACAAAAGCCACTCAGTCTGTCATATGAGAATAATTGAGAACATCCTCAATAAGATCTAAAACTAGACCAAAAAATACAAGTAATGAGAAACACAAATGACTTTGATGTTCACATTAAGTTACTTCAATTCAATACATACAATGATACAAACATAGATTCAACCATGCCAACCATAGCATATTAGCAACACGCTTATACAATCGGGATGGAAAATTCAACAAGCACTATGAAGTGTCACAGTTACTAACTACTAGTATATTTCATTAAACTGTGAAATTCATTTTCATAGAAATTCACAGATTCTCAGCCCTAACAAGTCTTGACAAATCGTAAACTTCAGAGTATGTAGATATTAATTGTGCTATCTATGGTTCGTATGTTCCCTAGTTAACCGACTTCTTAATATAGAGATATATGGTCCATTATCCTCAAGTTCAATAAGCTTCTGATCAATCCAAAGCAACAAAACAGCACCTGTGTGCATCACCCGATGATGTCATATCCTTCCCCGTGCTGATAAGGACTAAAGCTCCCTGGAACTTCCATTTTACCAATAAACTGGTCCATTCCTGCACACAAAACAAGTAGTTTCAAGAACATTGCATTGTTTAGAGATCTCAAACATAAAACATGAACATGATCATATGTTTGTTAGCTTTACATTAGAATTTAGGATAAATAGAGAACCAAAGCAAGTGGATACATACTTGGAACACTCTCATACATAGCTAAATGACCCAAACTGCCAGATGATCTTAAATCACGATCCAATGGAAACATAGGCTCCCCTTTATTTGGCTGTGTATCCAAGCAAAGCATTTCAGCACTTAAGTCGGGACTTTGGACATATACATTTTCAGCCCTTGATGCTGAATTCTCATGGGATTGGATGTTGTCGGGTTTTGTCTTCTTTTCTTTAGGGGACTCGACTTCAGCCTCTGGCTCTGATTCTGCATTGTTTGATACCCTAATCAATTGCTTTCTTTTGCAACGAGCTCTCCTGTTTTGGAACCAATTACTAACATTTGTTTCAGAAATTTGTCCATGTTGTGACAGCTCGGCGGTTATCTCCTTAATCTTATGCTTGTCAGGGGTTCCATTGCCTTGGTCAAAGATACGCTCAAGAATTTGAAGCTGTGTAGGTGTTGGAGTCCAACGCTGCCTTGCGGTGATCTTGTGGCAAACAGATGTCATCAATGAATCACAGTATATGTTACCCAGTCTCATTCCTAGCAGGAAAAGGATGGGATTGGCGTTAGAGGCAAAGGAGAGCCCCCAACATATTAATTAAACCTATTAACCACTTTCCTTGAAGAACTTCTAGTAGATTTAATTAGACAACCACCAAAAAGAAAAGGACAAGAAAGTAAGTACGTGGCAAAGGATGTGCAATTTCAATTACATAAGCACAAAGAAGATCACAATTGGGAAGTCAAGCATTTCAATTACACGAAGATGTATCCAACTGACAAGAAAGATTTCAATTACATATGCAAAAAGAAGATCACAATTAGAAAGCTGAGCATTTCATTTACATCAACTACGTGCTATACAAAAAGCAGGCAGTTCTGGTTCTTGTGCACGAGAAGTTGCAAGTTTCATGTTTAATATACAGACATGGTGTTGAGAGGGCTTATGGTGGGTAGAATTGGAAGGCAGACCTTCTTCCTCTTGTAGCCCACGATGAAAAAAGACGAGAGTATTCAAGCTAACAGTTTAAGAGGCAACCTCATACTCCAGTAACAACGAATGTCAACGAACATGCAAGCCAGATAACTTGTAGTTGCACTTTCAAACCCAATGTAGTAGGCTTGTCAAAAAGATACAAAACAGGATCTAAGATCTCCCTCCCCTTTAACAAGGTATTTTAAGTACCAAAATTGGATATAATACAACAAGAATTGCTCTGTCTGAGCTAAAAACCCATACTTGTTACTGAAAAACATGTAACTATAGGGATTAATCCAATGTAAAATCCATACTTGTTATTAAATATCATATGAAATAGTAGGACTGGAACCCAGTTCTCCTCCGGGCCAAACTTCACTCCATTTAAACTAAAAATTGAGCTCTACATAGAAGCCAATATTTACTAAACAATAGGCTTTAAAACGGATCATCAAATTAAAGAATCGCATTGCAAAATCCAATTAGCAAAAACAAACCCAGGAAGATCCTAATAATTTAATCTCATCAATTCCCACAAAACAAAAGTAGTGAGTATTGAAACACTTCAAAGAACACCCTTAAAGAGAGGGAGAAAAAAAAGAAAAAGAAAAAAAGTAAGTGCACACCTGAACCCACTAATTACATTATGCAATTCAATGAATAACAACCAATACTACAACACTAACACAAAATTTAGTTCACCCACATAAGCAATTAGTAGAGAATGAAAATTGAAGAGAGAGAAACAGAGGGGAGAGAGAGAGAGAGAGGAACCAGCAAGGTCCTGTTGGGAAGTAATGGCCTTGTGCATCTCAACAAGTTGGTCGCAGATGGTGGCGTAGGCGGAGATCTGACGGCGTAAAAGCTCCATCTGCTCGTCGGTCATCACCTTCACGTACAACCCACCACCACCACCACCACCACAACCACCGTCATTCTGATAGTTTAATTGTTGTTGGTCATGCTTGTTCCACTCCATCATTCCTGGTAGGTCATCTGTCCCAGACACAACAACATTACTCACCATCGCCATGTTTGTAGATTGATAATCACACCAAGGAGTAAAACCCAAGCAACGATTATATATATATATATATCGAGAGAGAGAGAGAGAGAGAGATGAGAATGAGGGAGAGAGAGAATGATGGATGGGTTAGGAGAGAGGGAGAGCATTTTTAAGGGTGCATTTTGGGTCGGGTTAACCCGAGTAATGTTAAAAAAGAATAAGTCATAATTAAAAAAAATTATCATAATTGAAAATTGTATAGGATATAATTAAAGATTTTATGAGTTATAATTAAAAAATTAATCATATTTTTTTTAAAAATATAATTAAAATTATATATAATACATCCCTTTTAAAGGTTCTAACTGTAACCCCAAAATCTTTTGCCCTTACTATTAGTAGATTGTTGAGATGTATTTCAACTCTGAGAAATTAGTGAAGATCATCACAATTTGTTTACAACATATTTAGTTTGGTGTTAAACCTAAATGGTTTAATTCGATTTGGAACCACAGTTTATAGCAACTTGCCATCATCACGTTCAACAACTTAAAATATTATATAATAAAAATATTATTTTTATTCAATATTTTGAAATGAGGGATAGAGAAGAAGATGAATTTTAATTGTTTGATTTAAATGGTATAAATTGTAAAGTATATATATATATATATTATTTATTATAGATGAGGCTTTTTTCATTATTGATTTGGACTTGTGTTTACTTGGACTATACAAATTTAAAAAAAAATTAAAACTAGGTAAATTAAATTAATAATTTGATAATAAAATAAAAAATAACAACTAAATAAAAGTAAAATTAATCCAATTCAAATTAACAACGCGAATAACACCAGCTTGAATTCTTTGAACAAATTTTGAACTGAATTAATTTTTTATTGATGTTTATCTTCAAAATATAATACTTAAAATATTGCTCCTCTCTCATAATGATTGTCTATGAATCATACTAATGTCATGCATCTATACCATTTTTTTAATTAACGTTGAGGAAGGGCAAGAATTTCAAGTAAATGCAACCTTTCTAGATTGTTTGATTGGAAAGCATTTTGGTTGTTTTAATGTGTATTTTGTTTTTTCGAGTACTTTTCTTAGGCCAAAAATCCCGACATGCCATGTGCTTGTGAGGGCTCTATGGTCAATCTCTTCTTGCCAAGTCAGAAAAATGGGGCTGTGTGTGGACTCATTAAAGCAATGTGTCCATGGTCCATTAGCGGTTGATGTTGGATTAAAGGGAAATCATATTGTATAAAAAGTGTACATTGTATAATTTCATTTTCATTTTCTTTTTCTTTTCCTTTTTCTTTTTTTTTATAAAGAATATAATTATTTTTGATTGGACTATCTTGTTGTGTCTTGTTGGGCTTATTATGACTTTCGCCCTTAAGATTCCATCTTTTTATTAGGTTGGATTCTTCAAATAAATTATTTATATAAAAAATTAATTTAATCAAATAACCTTAATCATATAATTAATTTATATTTATATTTAAAATAATGAATAACTTATTTTTAAAATTATATTTATCATTTATATTTTAAATAACAATAAAATATCATAACATGGTTGTAGTTGTTTGATCCATTTAAATTTTTACTTGAAAGTTTTGCCTAATCTTAGAAGTTGGATAGTCAGAAATCTAGGAATGAAAATCCTCCCGTGGTAGAAGGGTGTCGACTAGTCGGTTTACAAATGTCTCCATCACTCAAGTCTGTGTGTTGCCTGCGTTAGGATCCTCTACATGCACTTTCGGTGTCGACTAGTCAGTTTACAAATGTCTCCATCACTCAAGTCAGTGTGTTGCCTGTGTTAAGATCCTCTACATGCACTTTCCCTTTTATCTCTCTATTTGTAACAGTAGAGATGCATCTTAGAATAATTAAATGGTTCAAATCTAGCTATTTAAAAAAAAAAAATTTGATATGGATCGTTAAATCGTCTTAAGATGCACTATTGTAAGTAGAGAGGTAAGAAGAGAGTGCAAATAGAAGATCCTAATTCGTGTTGCCTATCTTGACAAATGAAATTCAATCATTCTACTTAAATATGTCATGGATCCGTTCAACCTGCACAACTTAATTAAACTGATTCAATCTGATTGATTTTGAATGGATACATGTCTTTTGACGAATGGATACGAATAAAATATTTTAAAATTTATGGGTACAGTTCAGATGACAGATCAACCATCCCACACCCTCATGAATTTGATCCACCCGTAGATGAAATTCAAAAAAAAAAAAAAAAAAAACTGCTAACAAGTAACAGCATAGAGTAGAAATAATAAAAAATATATTTTTGTGAATATAAAAAATAATACCTTAAAAAAAATGCATGTGTGGTGCCATAACCTATTATAGACAAGTAATACATATTTTTTTAGATTACTAGTTATTGGAGATTATAATTCAAAAAAACGTCCAAAATTTGTAAAGTCCAAACCGCCAAACCGCCAAACCGATTGCATCCATCCGCCAACTTTCATTGCCCGCTCAATCTGCATCTGCCAAATCAGTAGACGAATGCGGATTGATTTTTTTTCAATCCGCTTAATTTTGGATGAATGGTGGATGGGATGCCATCCGACCCAACTTGATCTGTGATCACTCATGAAATATACAATAAGACTAGTGAGCCTCCTCAATTTACCCAAAAATTTACCAACTGTTCACATGGCAACCCATCTCTAAGTGAATGTTTTTAAGGAAAAAATAGCATTCTAATTAATTAGGTTATCAATTTGTTATTACTATTATGGAGAGATAAAATATTGGCCCATACTCAAAGTAATCAAGCAAACGCCCAATACGGAAGAGGCTAGATAAATCTTTTAAAGAGCCCATCAGAAGGCAGTTGACAATAAACTAGTGCGTGGCTGTAACCATAAGGAACAATAATGGAATACAGATCTTCTTCTAGAAAGAGGATCCGCAGAACGTAAAAGGAACGTCAAATTCATCTTCATCCAATGGTGGAGACATCAAGCAACAAATACATGGACACAGGTCAGGTTTACTAGACGGTACAACCGTCTGATCAGCTCGATTAGATGAACATAACACTTGGCAAGTTAGCCACTGGCATTTGATATAATTTTAGCCCTCTATGAGAGGATGATCCAACAATCAAAGGTAAAGGCAACTTGACTACTTGACCGACTAGATCCAAGAACAGGCAGAACCCTCGGATCAAACATTGACCCAATGAATGTGATTTAAGTTAGGAAAACTATAAAAGACGAAGCAAGTAAAGCAAATAAGATGAACCGGAGGTAACACAAGTAACCCTCAGTTAAATATAAAAGTTAAATATGGATGATAATATTCTGACTTCACCATCGAAGGGTCCTCCCAACCAACACTGGTCAGAGGTGATCATTGCCATTTTGGTTTCTCTTGACAGAGTAAAGGAAGGGACACGTCGTCTTACTTTCCTTATGGAGAATAATTCTACCTTCTACAACTGTATAGAGACAAGTCCTAACAACAAGGCGTCTTTTTCTCTCTCTCTCTCTAACTTTGAGAGCCTCTCTCTCTATACTTTTCTTTTCCTAGGGTTTCAAGTGTGAAGGGTAATTGGGGTAGGGGAGGGAGTTTTCAGTGGCCTCCGGCCTTCTCTCCTCTTGTCCTACCTCTATTTTTCTTTTTTCTTTTTCCTTTTTTGTTTAATAACTTAGAAGCTTTTGGCTAGATGTTTCTCTCTCCTTTGCCTCAATTTCGGTTATGGCCTTCACCGGATCCGTTGTCTCTCCCCTCCTTCACCCCATTCTGATGTTGCCACTACGTCAGCGCATTCTATTCGGCCACTATCGCCTCTTCTTCTTTGCCGGATCTGCCTCCTTCCTTCTTTAGATCTGTCGCCTTCACCCTAATTTGCAACCTTCTATCGTCGGATTCGCCATCACTGGTGCCTGGTAGTTATGGGTTTGAGGGTTTTTTGTTTTGTTTCTCTATTTTTGGTGTGTCCTTAGCTTACCCACACAGATGGATGTATCCTATGTATTTATCTCAGACTTATTCTAGTGTGAAACTCTTATGAACGACTTCTGCTTCGCAGTATAAATGTTATGTCTTGATCTATACATACCTTCTTCTTGGTGCTTTATTTGGGGATTTTCCTTTGTTTTGAATAAGGTTTTTCCTTAACTTGGTGTAAGCTTCTTGTTGATTTTCTTGTAAGTGCCACAATCTTTACTTTTAATGGAAATTGCTATTGATAATATATATATATATATATAGACAAGTAGAGAAAATATTTTTTTTCTTAGAATATGTCTTAGGATTGTAGCACCATAATACATAGAACTAAAAAATAAAATAAAATGACTATGTGCTCCAAATATAATTCTGTTTGGTTGAATTTTTAGAATTTGTGTTCTAATTTTTTTCCCAAAAATTAGAAACTAGTTTGACAAAAATAAATACTAAAAAACACATTTTTTAAAATTTTAAAATTATTATTTACCAAAAAAGGGAAAATCATATAAAAAGAATGAGGTTTTTTTTTTTTTTTTGGGACCAAACTGATTTTTGAAATTTTTTTCTTGAAAACTCAAATAAACAAATTGAATCAGAAACCTTGATACAAGTTCATTGTTTTTTTAATCAAAAGAAAAGAAAAGAAAATGTTGATATTTAAAGATGAATTTATTCTTTTTGTAAATTATTTATGTGAGGCTTAACTTAATTAATTAGTAATTATGTGAGGCTTTTTTTTATTTATTTATGTATTTATAAATAATCACTTATTTAGATTCATATGAATTTGTTCTCTCTTTATATGAGTAATATAGGTTGATAACTTAATTAATTTAATTATGTTAAGGCTAGGTTACTGTGTGTATATATATTTCTTTTAAATAAACATAACCTCCATATTGAGATGGGCTACGATGTGAATAGTTGATAATTTTTTAAGTAAATTAGAGAGGTTTTCTAGACTTATTGTTAAATATATAACCATAATTTTATTTAATAAATGAATACATTATAAATTACATTTAAATGAATTTTGTTTATATGATTTAATTCATAATAAAATTTTGAATAAATTTCCAAATAGGTAAGAAAACAGTGAGAATGACAAATAAACTTGTTGAAACAATGGTTGCGGGGTTGGAC